TCCCCCCCCCCCCTCCAGCCCGGCTTCAGCTTGCGCAAGCTATGGGCCTTCACAGGCCCGGGGTTCCTCATGAGCATCGCCTACCTGGACCCCGGCAACATCGAGTCGGACCTGCAGTGCGGGGCCGTGGCCGGCTTCCAGGTAGGCACCAGGCACCAGGGCTGGGGGGGCCCCAGAGGGACTGCGGGCACCAGGGACTGGGGGGCTGCAGGCTGTGGGCGCCATTGGGGGAGCTGTCTTGGGCGGGGGGTGGGCTGTGCTTGGCACTGGACAAACCCCTGCCCAGGGCATGGAGGGAACGACTCCCCTCTGAGCTCTGCCCCCCCCCCCCCCCCCCCCCCCCGCCCCCTCCCCCCCAGCAGCTGCTGTGGGTGCTGCTGTGGGCCACGATCCTGGGCCTGTTGTGCCAGCGCCTGGCCATCCGCCTTGGCGTCGTCACTGGCAAGGACCTGGGCGAGATCTGCTACCTCTACTACCCCAAGGTGAGCTGGGGGGTGGGAGGCTGCCCCCCCACAGACCAGGGGGTACAGGGGTCTCAGGCATGATACTGGTGCATGCCCACAGGTGCCCCGTGTGCTGCTGTGGGTCACCATCGAGCTGGCCATCATCGGCTCTGACATGCAAGAGGTGATCGGGACGGCCATCGCATTCAGCCTGCTCTCGGCCGGACGGTAATGCACCTACCCTGTGGTGACACGCATGGACGGAGGGACACGCATGTCCGGGCCAGGCTGAACCCCACCTCTGCACCCTCTCCCTTCACAGCATCCCCCTCTGGGGTGGGGTCCTTATCACCATCATCGATACCCTCTTCTTCCTCTTCTTGGATAAATATGGTGAGTTCCCGGGGGGGTGCAACTGGATCCAGCCCTCCACCTACTGCAGAGGGGCTCCCCAGACCCCCTCACGCTTCCCTGGACTGCACCCAGGCAGAGCCCCCAGTGGGGGCAGTCCATGGGACCATGGCTGCCCCTGGACTCCCCCCTGTCCCCCCCAGGTCTGCGGAAGTTGGAAGCCTTCTTTGGCCTCCTCATCACCATCATGGCTGTGACCTTCGGCTATGAGGTAAGTGACCCTCCTCACACCCCAGGCCTGTCCTCCCTGCTCCCCCAGCCACGATCTGGGGCATAAGTGGCTTCCAGGAGCTGGGTGGAGGGCATTCGGGGGTTCAGCGCTTCCAGGCTCACCTGTGCCCCTCCCCCTTCTGGCAGTATGTGGTGGTGCGACCGTCCCAGGAGGCCGTGATCCGGGGCATCTTTGTGCCCTACTGCACGGGCTGTGGGCGCGAGGAGCTGCTGCAGGCTGTGGGCATCGTAGGCGCCATCATCATGCCCCACAACATCTACCTGCACTCGTCCCTAGTCAAGGTGAGCCCCCAGCTCTGGTCAAGGTGAGCCCCTGTCCCAGTCCTAGTGAGACCCTTGCCTGGTCATGGTGAGACACCATCCCAGTCACTGTGAAACCCCTGCCCAGATCATGGTGAGACCCCCTACCCTAGTCATGGTCAGACCCCTGTTCCAGTCATGGTGAGACCCTGGCCAGGGTCATGGTGAGACTCCTGCTTATGCCCCCCCGGCCTGCAATGCAGTCTCCAGCCACTGTGAGGGCCACTGTGGTACCCCCGCTTCAGTCACTAAGGGCTACTGCCACAGCCCTGCCTTAGCCAACAAGGGGCACTGCCCCAGGCTTGTGGAAGACTAGTGCCAGCTGATGGTGCCTGCTCTGTGCCCCTCCAGTCCCGCACTGTGGACCGGACACAGCAACAGGAGGTGAGGGAGGCCAATGGGTACTTCCTGCTGGAGTCGTGCCTGGCACTGGGCATTTCCTTCCTCATCAACCTCTTCGTCATGGCTGTCTTTGGCCAGGCCTTCTACCACCGCAGCAACCGCGATGTGGTGAGCACCAACCCCTGTCTGGCCCTGACACCCTCTCCTAGGGGGTCCCAGCCCCCTCCCGACCCCCACCTTCTTCTGACCTGCCCCCACCCATTGCAGCACAACGTGTGCGTCAACAGTAGCGTCAGCCAATACGCCAACATCTTCCCTGCGGACAACAGCACCGTGTCTGTGGACCTCTACCAGGGGGTGAGTGCTGGGGGACGGGGTGGGGCAATGGGAAGGGCTTGCACTGACCCCTCCCCTCCACCCCAGGGCGTCATCCTGGGCTGCTACTTTGGGGCAGCCGCCCTCTACATCTGGGCCGTGGGGATCCTGGCAGCTGGGCAGAGCTCGACCATGACCGGTACCTACGCGGGGCAGTTTGTCATGGAGGTGAGCTGCAGGGGCGGGGGGTCTAGGGCCAGTACTCCCCCAGGGTCATCCCAGCCCCATGGAGGCCTTGGGAGAGGTGGGAGCCCCAATGGCAGACAAGGAAAGCCTGGCAGAAGCATCAGCAGGGAGGCGGATAAACAAGATACATCGTTAGGTTTCAGAGTCAACAGCCTGATGGTGGGGGCAGGTTAAGCCCTACTCATTGGGGCAGGTGGTGGGTGCCTGGATGGGCCTGCCTGAGCAAACCTGCCCCCCACCCCCAAGGGCTGAGTCACGTGGGGGCGGCCTCCCCCATGAGCCCCAGGGCGTTAACTCTGGACTCTAATGATGGCTGCGGCCACAGACAAGAAAGGAGTTTGGGGCTGATCGCAGCGGCCCCAAAACAGCTGCTCTGGGGCTGGAGCCGGAGCTGAGGGGCTGCGGGGAGGGCTTGAGGCCACCACCCCTCCCCGGACCCTTGCCCCCCTGCAGAGGCAGCCACAACCCAGCCATCGAACCACTAAACCACGGACTCCAGGGCCCTTGCACAAGGGAGCAGAGTTCATGCACCTCATTTAAATAATTTGCATAACTGAATCTTGTAATGAGCGGTTCCCTGGGTCCCGCTGACACCTGGTGGCTGCTCAGTGCAGCTGCAGCCACCCAATGCCCCCCACTCCCGACCCGCCTCCCCCAGCCCTGGGCCTGGAAGATACGTGGGCACCGGAACCGCCTGGGGGGGGAGGCAGGGTGCCCAGGCCCCAATCCTGCCCCCAGGCTTGGGCAGGGGGGTGTCCCAGCCTCACCCTGACACCTGCCCCAACACCCCAGGGCTTCCTACAGCTGCGCTGGTCCCGCTTCGCCCGTGTCCTCTTCACTTCAACGTGCTGCAGAGCATTTTGGTGCGGGCAGCGCTGCCCCCCGCCCACGCCCCTGGCCCCCCGGCGCCCCTCACTCCTGCCCCACAGCCCCCAGGGCCCCTCATTCCTGCCCCATGACCCCTGGTACTCCTCAGCCCTAACCTGCAGGCCCTGGCCCTGCCAGTGCCCCTCACCCCCAACCCGCAGCTCCCCAGCCCTGCTGGTGACCCTCACTTCTGCCACCGCGGTCCTGGTGCCTCACACCCTGCCCTGTAGCCCGTCCCCCCCCAACCCTACCAGTGCCCCTCACCCTGTCCTGTGCCCCCAGCTGCCCTTCGCGGTGCTGCCCGTCCTGACCTTCACCAGCCTCCGGCCGCTCATGAACAACTTCACCAACGGCCTGTGAGTAGGGGGGCAAGGGGGGGACCCGAGCAGGGCCCTGGGAGCACGTCCCTGCATCCCACCTGCATGCTCCCGGCTGGGGGTCCAGCAGGTTTGCAGGGGCGGACCTCCCTTCCCTGCCCTTGACCCTGGCCCTGCCCTTGACCCCCCCAGGCCGGGGCAGCTGGTGATGGCACTGATCACGCTGCTGGTCTGTGCCATCAACCTCTACTTCGTGGTGGATTTCCTGCCCTCACTGGGCAGTGTCGCCTACTGGGTGCCTGCGGG